CACTGGTATTTAAACTCTTAACAGCAATTTTCTCCAAGCTATACCTTAATATCTTTACTCCTGGCACCAAAACCTACATAAGCTTGGAGTGTGTCTATGCCACGAAAGTCCATTTTAGAAATGGACACCTGTTAAGATCACCCAGCCACAGATTAAAAAACTGATCTCCTCAAAGCCTGTCACTATGGCAGTCTTGGCACCTCCTGTTCAGATGAACAGAAACCTCTCATTTTTTTCCAAAGCCAAAGGGCAGGCTGCCTCCATCCCTTCTCCCTCTGGAGCACATAGCGGTCCATGGAGGAGCAGAGCCAGTCTGGCTGCTGGCCACTTAAATAACGACCCCTGCTTGTTCTGAGAAAGACCTTCTCCATCCATCATTGCTTGATGGAGTTGGTATGAATGAAAGGTCAAACAGGTTTCAGCACCAGGTCTCACCCTATAAAGAGCAGAGGAGTGCCCTGCCAGCCTGTTACCTTGTACTTATCTAGAAAACATTACCTTTCAAAGAAATTCCCAAGGGAGGCAAGAAATGTGAGACAGCAGCTTCCCTCACCCACACCAATGCTGTAGATCAAGCATGGCTTTAAACACCTCTCCCCTACCTTTCACTCCTATCCCTACCAGGTAACATGACCTGTGTAGCTCCACCTGCTGAAAACCACTTGATACCAGATTAAAAATCACATTTGTCTCCTGCTGCAGAGACTGCCAGCATTCACCACGGCCAAAGGGCATCAGCAACATTGATAAACCTTGCTTGATCCTCAGCTGCTGTACATTGCTCTGGGTAGTTTTGTATCAGTGTAGACCAGGTAAAGCTCTGGTTTGGACCACCATTGCACCCAAATACTGTAAGGTCCTTGGGGCTGGTTATTCATTCTGCTTGTACAGCACAGTGAGACTCTGGTCTCTGACTGCAATAGAGGCTCAGGCAAAAGGGCTTTAAGGTTGGGCATCGGGATGCGAAACCCTTTCCTCTTGTTGTAGGGAAGAGCCTTTCAGTTGCATTTTCTAGAGACAGCAAACAGAACAAAGAAACCACACCGTATTGGTACATCAGAATTTTACAAGGGTTCAGACGTGATCAAAGGAATTATTTCACAAGGGAAGATTTATCTGGACACATATATGATGTTCCACTTCACCCAAATCCCAAGCTCATCCATACCTTTCCTTGTTGGACTGTCCCTTTTCACACAGACACTGACCAAGGACACACACTGACCCAAGGGACTCTGTGATTTTGTACCCTTGACAAGGATTTTTAAGCCTGCCCAAGGCGAATCATGGCTCCAGCTCTTGAGTAAAGATTTCAAAGACTGACGAGAATTGCTAAACCCTTTGCTATGAACTACCACGTTAAGAAGAACTTTCATCATCTGCAAACCTAAATTTTCCTACCTGCAAGAGAAGGATGACAGTCTCTTGACTCCCTGGGTGTTGCTAGGATTAGACAATGTTTGCTCAACATTAATGTAGATTTTGGTGTCTTGTGTTATTGCTACTGTCACATTATAGAAAGGTCAATGAACACATTTCAGTGAGTCAGAGCCCTTCCACAGTGTTAGCGTAGTCCTCAGAGCTTAGCCAGCCTCTGTATTTGGTTAAAGCCCAGCACAACCCCACTCTTAAAAGATCCCAACGTACGTCAGAGTAGCAACCCTTTCCTGTCGCTGCCTCATCTCTATGTTTAGGATAAGGAGCGCTTGGAAGATGATGCTGAAATTGAAGCAGGGAAAGAAAACAAACCGAAACCACACATATGGGGGGGAGGGGGGGGGGGGGAGCGTAAAAATAAACCAAATTCCCCTCAGAAAAACTCCAAGCATTAGAGAGCATCTAGCTAGAGTCAGAAGGCAGGGATAGAAGATATGTGTTTAGGTAGAAATTAAACTGAACATAGGGAAAAATGAGTCTCCTACTTCTTCTCCAATTAGAAACCTTCAGCGAGAACCTCTTGCCAGCCCAGCACCTCATGTAAAACAGCAGTCATGTTACCAAACCTTTTTCATAAAGCACATGGAAATATTGAGGACCTTATACATTCTCCAACAAAAACACAGACTTTTTCTGGGAAAAGCATTGACCCTACAATTCTTACCTGGAAACCTCTTGTACTCCATGAACTCAAGGCAGGGCTGCAACACCGATTCCTAGCACCCTGTCCCCTGGCTGGAAACATTATGTTTCTTGGCTCATCAGACAAATGCGAGGTTTGCTGCCTCGTGATCAGAAAGCCATGCTAACCAGCCATATCCCAAATTCTCTAGGCTGTCTGCCATGTAGCTGTGAGCCCAAAGTCCCGAGAATGCTGAGTTTAAACCAACAATGTACAAATCAAACTGCGGGTGGGTGACAGAAAATTTCAACACACTGAAAGCAAAGCCAGGCCAGGCAAAGCTCTCATCTGCGACTTTCTTCTCTCCTCATCCTTGGCCTTAAGTACTCCATCTCTGCATCCTTTATCTCTCCCTTTGCAACACATCCACCCCATTTCTACTACCTCTTCTATCACAATAGGTTTAGCACTCTGAATTACTCACTGCAAACACTCCACATCCTCTGGTTCATACCACTGCTCCCCAAATCCCTACCTTCCCTCTTCCCGTAATCCCCCCATGCCCTTACCTCTCCCACACCCACACCTTCCCACCACACCACTTCTACTGCTGATCAACACAACAAATCACAGATACTCCAAGCCAACTATTGCACACCAAACACTTTTTGAAAGTGCTACAAATTTTCAGTACCTTCAGCTTGTAGCAGCTAATTCAAGATGATCCACTGCTGGCTGACCACCACTACCTCCTGTGCTGGTCAGGAGAACAGTGTGAATACATGACGGGATACCAGTTCAGTGGCCAGGGCACAGGAGGGCGTTGAGATGGAAGAATGACGTGCTCATCAGCACAACACAACAGGCAACAAGAGTTGCAGTGTGGACTGTGTGTTGCGGGGTCTGTGCTCCACTTGGAGCTTCCAGACAGCTGTTCAAGGAAATTGCCATCAATGTCAGCCTCACCACCACTATTAGACATCTCATCCATGTCTGGGCCCAGCTTGAACCCATTTAACTTGTAAGGGATAATGAGATAACAGCATGACATGTTGCAGCTGAAGGTTATTTAAACACCCATCTGGTACCTGTTATGCAGCATACATCCTATTGTTGTATAGGAAATATATGCCACCTCCCTCCCACATGGAAAGGAGAAGATCTGTAGATGTGTCCCATGCTACCCATTCTTTTTGCATAGATGAGGTAATTCTCCTTCTTTGTGTTCTTTCTAGCATATCACTTTGCATTTCCTGTCTGCACTTTGGGACATGCAGTCCCTTCCAGGCTGGCAAGACTTTGTGAAAGGACACAAGACCGCAATGAGAAATTTACTATGGACATCTCGTTCACCCTTCACACATCAGTCAGAAGAGGCTCCACACCATCCAGGTTTGAAAGGGTGAACCATAAACCATGAAACTGATTCACCCTTTGCAAGACACAACTTGGCACTACACTTTATCCCAGAGAGATTCAGGGGTGACAGTCTATTTCAGCTTATTCCAGCTCTCCATCTTCCTTTGTGTAGGATAACTTTGGCTGCTCTTGGTCTCCTGCTGAAATTGCCTATGAGGCTTTTGCTCTCTGTGAGCCCTCAGCAGCCATGACGGCCGGGTTGTGTGGTATCCCAAGAAATCATATTTCATAACACGAGTGGTCGGCTTTGCAGATGTGTACTCCTCTCTCTTCTGTTTTTCTCAGGCATGACTCAGTTTTCTGCAAAAGTTGTTCTACCCTGTAAATCCTGGACCAAAACCTTTGTCTGACACCCCATCTAGTGTTCAGCACAGACAAATGCAGACGACCGGTGCATCAAGGAAACAGTTGACTGGAAAATTCCCAGCATTTTTTCAGTGGTATTAAACCACCTTTGTAAAACTATCATTTGAGCCGTCTCGGAGAGCTCTGACAGAGTCCAGGCAACATGGAAACCTGCATATGCCACTGCCAATTCCTTCCTCTGGCCTCTGTGCAGCCTCTGGGTGTCCCAACAGAGAGATTGCAGCCAGAAAGCCCAGCAAACCCCACTCCTCAGGTGTTAGCTCCTCGCAGCCCAAACCCTGAGGCTTTGAGGACACCCCTCTGTAGGTGAGACATCTGGGCAAACCACCTTGGAATATCGAGCCAAGAGCCTAAGCTGTACCCACATCGAGATGGCAGCTGACAGTGAGGACTTCCTCAAAACAGGGAACAACAGGGCTTCCCAGGTGCTCAGCAGTTGACAGCACAGGGCACTCACTTCAAAAGAGATGTCAAATCTTGAGCATGTATTTTGAGTACTAAATAACGCTGCTCAGTGTTTTTCCAATGAGATTTTAAAAATAAAATGAGAATTACTTAAATGTCTTTTCACCTTTTTTTCATTAAAAAAAGCATTTGCTGAGAAAATGAAAGCTGTTTCAGCGTCTGTCCTTCCCCTTCGCAAACACACTTATTTGGTGGTGCAGTGGATCATGAAGCTATCAGGACAAAATATCTGCTCTGAGAACTTGGTTTTAATAAACCAGCTTTGACATGTTCAGTCCTGTGAGTTGCAGAGCTCCAGCCACTGCTACAGAAATCTTTGTACTCTGTGATGCTAGCTGCACAACCCACTCTGAACTAAGCCCAAAACAAGCATCACTATGTTCTTGGTTAATCACCAGACCAATTAGCACCTTGGTTAAGATGCAGTGAGGTTCCAGTCCTGCTCCCCTCAGAGCTGGGATTGTTCTGATGAAATTCTCCCTCTACCCACATGGCAATACCCTGTTCACAACACTTTCAGTTCTCAAGGAGTAGCGTGATAAGTCTGTTAACTCATTAACACCTCCAGCTTACAGGAGACTTGGCTTCCATCCTCTTCAACAGCCTCAGGCCCCACGCTCTAGGAAGTTATTCTGCAATTTCTGTTTTGCTTTCCTTTCCTGCTGAGCCAGGCTGGCTTTCAGTTCCCACCATGAAGCTTCTGAATGCTGCTGTATTCTTTATTCTTGTGCCCACTTTGACGCCAGCTTTGGACCCTCTCAGCACTTCAGTCCTCATGGGGAGTGCTGCTGTCGCTTGGCAGCTCCTCTCCTCTCAGTCCTGGCTCAAGTGCAGTCTCCTGGAATGCTGCAATATGAAGGACACGCTGAACTTCTCAGGTAAGGCAGCGGCAAGGGCACCTTGAGCCAAGTTGTCAGTGGGACCAGCTGATGGTCCTTCCCAGGGTGGTGAGGGCTTCCTTTTTAATGCCAACCTCCTTTGGGGTGGTTGTGGGAAGATAAGAGTTACTGCCCACAGTGGCTCTAGAAGGCAAAGGCTGTACTAACCTAATATTGCTTATCCCACAAGTGGTCATGTATGCTGCTTCTCATGGCAGTACTGGAGCATTTTCCTTGCTGGTGTCTTGGTTTATATTGGCAGAAGCAGGCAAAATTCTGGAGGTGAATTCAAGGCTAAGAGCTAACGAAATAATCCCACATCTTCTTGAGACAGACACCCCAGTGGTATCCCACACCCCAGTTGGTGGCTGCCTGTAATACATGTCAAATGAGCAGCAATTAGTGGTAAGTCTAGATTCAAAACATGCTGCTTCGCTTGCCTGAGACAAGCAGGCTGGCAGTCCTCAGTGATTGGGGAAGAAAGGGTTGTTTCACTCTGCCTGCAGGGAACTAGCGCATGGTCTGAAAAAGAGCTTATGCAACAATCTAACCACAAACTCCTGATCCTGCCACTTAGAAATCCCCCTTCTCTTTGTCATGGGATTACAAATATTGCTTCATTTCAGTGCTGGGCCACAGATTTCAAAACAAATCCTCAACTGTTGGAGACCTGTGTGTCTCCAGGTACTTCAGTATGTCACTTCCTACCAGCCCTGGATCTGGCTGCTTACAAACAGGCCGTTAGCTAGTACTTTAGCCAGTGAAACACCAGTTGTGGTACTTTTTTAAAAGAGAACTTGATATAGCAAAAGAAGCACGTTTTTCTATAAATGTGAGGTATACTAGATGCCACTAAAATAGTTAACAAGAATTTAGCACATGCAATGAACAAGTCTCTGCACATATCTTAGATCCCGTCCTAGGACTTTATAGGAAACAGTAGCTGCAATACCATTGGGAGTCCTGCCTATCTCATACAAACTGCTTGGTTCCCATAAATGCTATCAAGAGTCTGATTCACGAGTCTGTACCTCAGCTGGATTCTCTGCTGATTCACAATCTTGTTATGGCCAGAGGGTGGCAAACATTTGTTCTCCCTGATGGTCATTCAGCTGCAACAAAAAAAAAAAAGGGAGGAATAATACGGCATTTTCTGACTATTCTCTCCCCTCATTCCTTCAGTTATAAAGACGGATTTGGACCGAAAAGTCTTTGGCCAGCATCTTGCTATCCAGATAGTTCTGAGAGCTCTGAGCACAAATATGCGCTCCAAACGGCCCAGGAAGCCCCTGGTGATGTCCTTCCACGGCTGGACTGGAACAGGCAAATCGTTTGTCAGCAGTATCATTGCAGAGAACCTCTATCGGCTCAGTATACCAAGACGGAAGTTTGTGCACCACTTCAGCACAGTACTGCATTTCCCACACCTTTCTCATATCCATCTCTATAAGGTACTTCAAGCTTTATCTCACTTTCTCCAATTTATCTGCAACTGCGAGTGCAAATCCCAGATAATTTTGCCTCTTCTCACAGGAACAGCTGCAGAATTGGATTCGAGGCAATGTCAGTGCCTGTCCAAGGTCTCTTTTTATCTTTGCTGAAATGGATCAGATGCCACATGGCCTAATAGACTCTATCATGCCATTCCTTGGCTACCATGAAGAGATTGATGGTGTTTATTATGGCAAAGCGATCTTCATCTTTCTGAAGTAAGGAAAGCCAAAGGCCAAAAGGGAATTACGGTCCCACAGAATCAGCAGGGACAAAGGGAGTAACAGCTGCTGATAGGTTTGTAGCTGACTGCAGCGTGGCTGAGCAGCTCAAGGTGCCTCACTGTCTGCCTTTACAGCATTTTATCAATGAACATGCCCAGCCATCATGTCAGCCAGAAGATTTGAGCTATTCAACACTATAGAGGTGAGCTGTCCCTGGGGTGAAAAGGCTCCCATTCCTCAAGTGAGCTTCCAAAAGTACTGGAGATGCCACTTCCACAGTGGTCAGTAAATATGTTTTCTCCAGCTCTATAACACCACTGTTAGGCAGAAAAGTCTTTGTAGGATGGATGGGACCCCCCTAGGTAGCTCTTTAGATGCAGAGAGGGGGAAACTCACCTATTGAAGACCACTTGCATACACAGATCAAGGCAGCACAATTCCTCCAAGTATTTTTCCTGGGAAATCCCTTTGCCGAGGGTCACCCCAGCTCTGTTCACATTGTATGACTGAAGCAAGCCCAAACCCCAAGCTTTGGCCTGGTGTACCTCTCAGCTTGCCTTTACATTCAAACACATAGCCACCTACCCATTTCAGCTTGGGGCAGCAATTACCACAGTGGGTAGCAGCTTGTTAGAGGGCCCCTCAGTAATACCTGGCTGTATGACCAATCCCCCTGCTCTGCTGCAATGACAAACGCAGCTGTTCAAGCCACTGTGCCAGAGGAGTGCTCATACCATCAGACACTGCTGTCATTTGGGAGACAGTGTAGTCCTTCTCACTTCCCATCTCTGGCAACACCCACATGTAGGGACATCTCATCTCCACTCCAGTGCAGAATCACACCAAGTGACTTAAACCACTGCTGAGATCTGAGCAATAAAGATGGCAAAAATACAGCTCTAATGAGCCAGTGAATCTCTTTCCTAACAGCAATGCAGGTGGAGATAAGATAACAGAGATTGCCCTTGATTATTGGAGAAGCCTGAAGAGAAGAGAAGACATTCCTGTGAAGAAGCTCCAGTCTCTGCTCTCAGAGGAAATTTTCAGGAACAGAAACAGTGAGTACCTCTGGGCTCAGTCCCAGGACTGCTGATGTCTTCTGCAAAATGATCCACGAAGTACGCAGCAACGCACTGGCCTCCACAGCACGCCAATGGTAAAGCTCCCTATTCTCTCTGCCAGGTGGTTTCTTTCACAGTCAACTGATCCAGAAGAACCTGATCGACTATTTCATCCCTTTCCTTCCTCTTGAATATAAACATGTGAGACAGTGTGTCCGGGAGGAGCTGCGCGTGCAAGGGCATCCCGAGGATGAAGACCTCATAGCAGAGATTGCCTTGGCAATGACTGACTACCCCAGTGAAGAAAGGCTCTACTCCAGCAAAGGCTGCAAGACTGTAGCCTCCAGAGTGGCTCTGAGCATCTAAGCATTACCAGGCTGAATGCCTCCTCTTGTGGCTACAAGACCACAGCAGATGGAAGAACCAGTAACTCCCTTTCCCCTCCCTGAAGCTCAGTCTACACACTCTTCCCTGAAGGGATTCAGGCTGTCCTGTACCAGAGGCACCTTCCGTAAAGCCCCTGAATAAACACACCGGACACGGCAACAATCATGCTATAGAGTAAGCAGAAGAGGGACATACATGGGTGATGAGGTTTGCTCTCTTTGCCACAGAAACAATCCTGAACGAAAGTATTTTGAAGAGGAAAATCTCCCACTTTTGTGGCAAGAGCGTTTGCACCTTAAGTCCCAGCATTGCCCTAATTAATAAAATCTGTTAATAAATGACATTCTCAGTAATAGTATCAGTCTGTTTTATGCTGGCTGTCACCTGCGTATCTCACAGAAATCGCACCGGAGACCAGCACCACTGTTCCTGCTTTACAGGTGTGGAAACTCAAGCACAAAGGATGAGTTTTCCAGATTGTCCAGCAGGCCCTGGTCAGTGGCAGCGTCCTGGTTCAGCAGCCCATCGGTGCGGCACCGCCACCTCACGCCGATGTGAACCCCATCCTGGCCGAGCTGTCTACGTTGCGGAACACCGTGCGCCAGTGCTGCTGATCGTCACATGAAAAGCATGCAGAAAAGCCCTCCTCGTCTCCACACCATGTCCCCACACCATTTCTCCCGCAGGCTGCGGGCAGCTCCTCCGCGGTTTGCTCGGTCCGATGCAACCACCCACGCCTGGTGGTGTGCTCCCGACCCTGTCAACCCCAGCCGCCAGTGGGGAAAGAGGGAGAGGAGGCTTACGCTTGTGGCACGGGATGGGGAACGGCATTTGCGCCCATGTCCTGCAGGAAAAGCCGGTGGGGTGGAGGGGAGGGACGGGGACAGGAGATGGGGCCTGGGTGGCTCTGAGGGGAGCGAGGGCGCCCAGCTCGCCCCGAGGCGATGGAGGCGATAGGACTCCATGAGCCTCGCCTCTCCACTTCAGGGTGCTAATGCCGCCATGCCGCCCCCCTGGCCTCCTCCCCCCCCCCCCACCGTTCCGTCACGCCTCGCCGACGTCGTCAAAAGGGCAGCGAATGCCGCCCGTGCCCTTCACAAAGATGGCGGCGGCGGCTACGGGCGGGGCGGGGGCGTTTTCCCGCCCGCAGCCGGTGGCGGGCGGAAGCGGGGCCGGGCGCCGAGCCGCCATGCCGCGGGCGGTCGGGCTGCTCTGGCTGCTGCTGCCGGGGCTGGCGGCGCTGGAACCGCTCAGCGTGGGCCTGGCCATCGGCGTCGCCTCGGCTCTCACTGGCTACCTGTCCCACCCCCGCTTCTACTGCAACTACGTGGAGTGCTGCCCCAGCGCCGGGCAACGCCTCAACGCCACCGGTACGGCGGGGGCTGGGGGGGGACGACACGACACCGGGCCGCCCTGGGCTCCCCGGCCCTGCCCCGGAGCTCGGCCGGTAACCGGTCACTGACCGGGGCGGCCCCCGGTGTGCCTGGCAGTGGCCGTGCCGTGCTGAGCCCCGTGCCTGTTGGTGGCCGTGCCGAGCTCGCCCGGTGTGTGACCGGTGCCCAGAGCCCGTTGGTGGCCGTGCCGAGCTCGCCCGGTGTGTGACCGGTGCCCGTTGGTGGCCGTGCCGAGCTCGCCCGGTGCACGGCCAGTGAGCAGCACCCGTTGGTGGCCATGGGGTGCTGAGCTCTCCCTCTCCCCGCAGCACTGAAGGCGCAGCTGGACACCAAGCTCTTTGGGCAGCACCTGGCCAAGGACGTGGTGCTGAAGGCAGTGATGGGTTTCAGCAACAACCCCAGCCCCAAGAAGCCGCTGACGCTCTCACTCCACGGCTGGGCCGGCACTGGCAAGAACTTCCTCAGCCAGATCTTGGCGGAGCATGTCCACCGTGCCGGCCTGCGCAGCAAATTCGTCCATCTCTTTCTGGCCACCCTGCACTTCCCCCACCATGACCAACTCAAGCTCTACAAGGTGAGGAGGCACGCAAGGGAATCCAGTTACCATGAGTCCCTAGACCCCCTAGTACGGAGGTTTGGCTGTTTGTGCTGCACACCTCCCTCAGATACCTGGCAGCTGGAGGAGTACAGCTGGGTATTTCCAAAGTTGGTGCTTAGGAGAGATGGAGGGGGAAATCCATGCAGAAAGTGAAAGGCACCAAAACACTGAGAAATCCAAAGTGAGAGTAATTTCCTAGTGCTGTCGTCTCACTGATGCCATCTGGTGATGCTTGCTGTTAGGAAAGAATCCCGTCATCAAAACTGCATGTACTGGGTGGCTGGGATGGAGGTGACTTCCTCCATAGCACCCCCCGTGGTGCTGTGTTTTGCGTTTGTGCTGGTAAGGCACCAGTGTTTTGGCTGTTATGGAATAGTGCTTGCACAGCCTCAAAGCTTGCTTTTTTTCCCCACTTATAGCGAGCAGGCTGGGGTGGGCAAGAGATTGGGACAGGACACAGCCAGGACAGCAGACCTCAGTCGGTCGAAGGGATATTCTGTACCATATGCTGTCATGCTCAGCAATAAAAACTGGGGTAGAAGAAGGAAAAAGTGGGGGGCATTGGCTTCCAATGTGGCTGTTGCTCTAACACTGGCTGGGCATTGGTCTGCATGTGTCAGGGGGATGAGTGATTTCCTTTGCTTGTTTTTTCCTCTTTCCATCACCTATCAAACTGTCTTTATCCCAACCCATTAATTTTCTCACTTTTATTCTTTGTTCTCTCTCCCCCATCCTGCTGGGGGAGCGCTTGGCTGCTGGCCGGCTCAACCCACGACATACTGTGCCATGAGAAAGTGTAGCCTGCACAACACATTTTTCAAGTGACTTCATTCCTCGACATTGGAGAATTCTGATCTTCATGTTTTAAAGTTTGAAGGTACCCAAAACTGAAGTACTGATAGATGTGGTTTCTATATGAAAGGCACAACACTGATTTTATTTTTTAAAACAAAAAGAAGCTTTCTTTTCTCCAAGAGTTCTGATCTCAGCCTGGTTTTCATGTCTTATCCATACACTAAGAAGAAAGAATCAGAAAGTCTTTCCTCTGTGAGCAGGAAAAGAATTCACATTTAAATTCAGTGTCACGTGTCAAAGGGATCAGTCACAGAGTTTATGGTCCTCCCTCAGGAAAATGTATAACCACTGAGTGTGGGATGCTGACATTTGAAAAGGTGTCCCTAGGGTCTGTCACATACAAGCATCTTGCAATACATCTGGAAGAGACCTAGTTTTTGAGTGTCTTTCAACATCTTGTTCCAGGAGCAACTGCAGAACTGGATTCGGGGCAACGTCAGTGCCTGTCCCCACTCTATCTTCATTTTTGATGAGATGGACAAAATGCATCCAGGTCTCATTGATGCCATCAAGCCATTCTTAGACTATTATGAGCAGGTTGATGGCGTGTCCTACAGGAAAGCCATCTTCATCTTCCTCAGGTCTGTAGCACCTATTTCAGTCATTTTGAGATACTGAGATAAATCTGTGTTTATGATGATAATAATGATGTTCCTATGGGACTTCATTCAAAGAATAGCAAAAGAACCGCTCTGGAGTGAAGACCCTCTCTGTAAAGACAGAGGGGGAGCACTATGAGCTCTTGCATGGCCTGTGGCTGTAGTGGAGCAGGTCTGATGCTGTGCAGCAGATCACTGCAGCGTGCTGAGCTCACGAGCCTGGCCCAGAGCACAGGTCATATCAGAGTTCACATGTTGGGGAAGTTCTCTGGGATGGGTGCATCATGTACTGGGTCTGGCTGGCAGGGAGTTAACTGTCTTCACAGCAGCTGGTTTGGTGCTGTGTTTTGGATTTGTGGCTAAAACAGTGTTGATAACACACCAATGTTTTGGCTATTTCAGGATGGTGTTTGCAAAGCCTCAAGGCTTTCTCTTTTTCCCACTCTGCCCCAGTGAGTAGGCTGGGGGGGGCAAGAGGATGGGAGGGGACACAGCTGGGACAGCTGACCCAAACTGGCCAGAGAAATATTCAACACCATGTAATGTCATGCTCAGCAATAAAAACTGGGGTAGAGAAAGAAGGGGGGTTTCAGCTTCCAAGGTGATGGTTCTTCTGAGACTGCCTGGGTGTTGGTCTGACTGTAGGGGTGGTAAATGATTTCCTTAGCTTTCCCTGGGGTTTTTTTCCTCCTCTTTTCAATACCTGTTAAACTGTCTTTATCTTGACCCACAAGTCTTCTCACTTTTGTTCTTCCTATTTTCTCCTTCCATCCTGCTGAGGCGGGAGGGCATAATCAAGCAGTTGTGTAGGTGCTTGGCTGCTGGCTGGGGTCAACCCACCACACACTGATGGCTATTTAAAGAACTGGAGACTTTCCTTAAATTTTGGCTTACAGGTTTCCATTTTGGTGATTTGTTTGACATCAAGCAGATTAGCAATACATGTAACTGGCTAAAAAAGAAATTCTGGTTCAGTTGTGTCTGTATTCACCACTGTGCATTTTTCTTTTATGAATAGCAATGCAGGTGGTGACTTAATTAATAAAGCAGCTCTTGACTTCTGGACAAGTGGAAAGAGCAGGGAAGAGATTCAGCTGAAAGACCTGGAGCCCATGCTATCTGTAGGAGTCTTCAATAACAAGAATAGTAAGTCACTTTCCCCAGAAAATGGGAAATTCATTTTACTTCATAACATAGGGTTCATCTCTGCAATCTGTACTGCAGCCTACCTTGACCCTGCCCAGCTTCCTGTGACCCCAGCTTCCTACAGTGGCCTGGCCCTGTGCCCTTCTGTCCCTTCACACCAGTGTCATGCCCTCACAAGAGAATTTTTGGCACAGAAGTTGCTCTGCATGCACAGTGAAGGGCAGCAGTGACAATTGCAAGGTACCATCAGTCTGATCCATCCAGCTAACCGGCATGCTTTTCTTCCTTGGGCAGCATTTGAGACAAACTGCTTTGTAAATTCAGTCTGGCCTGCGGATCCTATCTTATGCAGGCTCAAGTTTAGAGAAACTCCTTCCTATGATTTTTTTTTTTTTTCCCTCCCTCCCCAACTCCTCCAGGTGGACTGTGGCACAGCAGCCTCATTGACAGGAACCTCATTGACTACTTTGTTCCCTTCCTGCCCCTGGAGCACAAGCATGTGAAGATGTGTGTCAGGGCTGAAATGATAGCCCGTGGCTATGCTGTTGATGAGAAGATTGTTCAAGCAGTGGCTGATGAGATGACGTTCTTCCCAAAAGAGCAGAAAATCTACTCTGATAAAGGCTGCAAGACCGTACAGGCCAAGCTGGATATTCATGAAGATGCTGTGATGAGAGATACAAAACCCAAGGGTTGATTACCCTTTAGGTCTCCAACGCACTTTCAGACCTTTTGCATATTCGTATATTTGCACTTAAGCCTTTTTACTGTTGCAGGGAATATGGTGAAAATACCAGAGTGAACTGTGTGGGCTTTTAAGTTTTTGGTTGGTTGGTTGTTTTTTTAATTTAACATCCCACTGTTCATCTCTGAACTGGCTGATACCCAAATGTTGCCCCCCCCCCCTTTTTTTTTTTAACCTGTAGAGAATTTCTGAGCATGACACATACATAGCACTGGATACAGCCTCTCCTGCTTTATTCTTGCAAGTGCTGGGATTATGAAGTATTTAATTCCTCTTTCCACAAAAACTAGACCAGAGCAAAGGAGAACAGAGGAATGCTTCCAGGCAGTCATATTCCCTTCCTTGTACACGGTCTCGTTCATGGGCTAGTGAAATGAAGGGATGTGTGGTGTGTTCAGGACTATGATAGTGTCTGCAAGTGTGAATACCTCGATGTGTTGCAGTAAGAAGATGGTACAGTGGAAGGCTTCCCATCAGCAGACTGATGCTGGTGTGGCTTCTACAGGTGAGCATCAGCTATTCAGGGACAGAAGGGCATGATTATAGTTTATATCACCTGAGCTGTGGCATTGTACCACACCTCCTGCTACAGTAATATGGAAAGTCACGATGAACTCCAGGAGATCTGTTACTAAATAGTAGAGAAGGGGTGTGGGGGAGAAGTAACTGCTTGCCCCTGTGATTCTTTGGGGAAAAAGAAATTGTACAAGAAACTTTTACATTCTTCTAAGGGGGCTAAGTGAATTTGTGTGGCAACTCCAGGTCTTCCTAAGCAGAGGAACACATCTGCAGGATCTGACAGAACATACTAGGCCAGTCACCTGTTCTTAATCAGAAAAATCTCTCATGAGGATTTGACTGTTACAGCTTGTCAGGTTAATTTGCATGCAGGCTCCTGGGCCTGAAGTCTGCAAGATCTTTAGTAGTCCCTCCCAGCTGCACCCAATAGTCTAGGAGTGGATAATGCTACTCTCACCTTGCTTGGAAGACACTTTTGTGGCAGAAGTTATTTTTAATAGTGTATTTTTATACTGAAGTGTAAGCAACAGCAATACAACGCTCTTCCTAGAGAGCGACAGAGAAGGGAGTATGGGAAATGGGAGCAATCAACAATCCCATACCTCACTAGATAAGTATGTTTTGTAGTAGCTTTTAATGTTAAAAAAATGTCTTGTGTGGGAGGGTAAGTGATGCGTTAGGAAGCTGGGAAAGATTGATTTAAGGAAGCTGGGAAAGATTGACTTAACCCTCACCCACTGGTAAGGCTGGGGTTTTAAACTCTTGCAAGCTTTAACTCTTTAATCATCCATCACTTGCGGATCAAATACTGTAGTGCAAGACAGAAGTGCCTATCACTTGGTTGATTGTAGTGGTTTTTTAAACTGGTATGAGGGATTGAGCTATTTTTGTGCTGCAGCAACTACTCCCTCACTTGTACTTAAACTTCCTTTAAGATGTGCTGCAAAAAACTTATAGGTCTCAACACTATAATGTTAATTCAAATTACAACAGAGAGCTTAGCTTTTATCTTACACTCTAAATTAAAAATGTCAATTGCCTTTTACAGCCCATGTGGAGTTTGTCAAATGTTGGCAAACTGTTCATGCTGATGCAATCTTCAGAGCCAAATGCTAGCTAGCCATTAACCTTGGGACATTGGACTGTTGCTTTTCATGTACAGTGTTTTGCCTATTAACTGACTTATTCATAGGTGTATTATGCTACATCCAGTGCAATCTCAAAACACTAAATATTACTACTGTACTGCAGTTGGAATAAATCTTGAGTCACTTTTCTCGGTTTAATCATTTTCAGCTATAGGAAAGTACTAGTTTATGTGGTTTTTCAACTAGCTGCACTGTGGCTTTCTGTTAAGCTTCCTTTATTCTTAAAGAGTTGTTTATAACAATAGATAAGCAGATGAAATAGCCTGTTGATATTAAAACATGTTGATTCATCCGACAGCACAGTAAGGAATTCAGCAGTTAAATACAGCTCAGTAGAAACAAAAACCTACGAAAAAGCCTTGAAGTCTCTGCTTGCTCTGCTTCATAGTTATTAACAGATATCTTCCACCATACTGCCAGGCACTGCAGGACAAATATGCCTCAGGTAGCTTGTTTAGCCATTCCTCCTCTCTGCACTGTGTTTGGAAAGCTGTCATTCAAGGTGGCTCTTCACCTCTCTAGCTAGCAAAGGTGTGATAGGGCTACAGGCCTTCATCGTATCTCCGTGGGCCAGAGCATCTGCAGCCTCTCTAGCACTGAAAAAAAGCCAGTGTGTAAACAACAGCCTAATTCAAGTGAGGTACAGCTGTTGGCAACAACTCACACCTCACTGAACAGCCAGTTGTTCACACTGTTGTGAACCATGTGTTGTGCTGTAATGATGCACAACAAAACTCGTTATGAAGCATATATGGGAAGCGTAAGCTGTCTTGTTCATCAGGACTTTGTACTATGCCTGCACCACTCCGCACACATGACAGCTTGGCTGTTTGGCCCAGGGCGTCAGGCAGATGAATCTCTAGGGCCAGGCTGCCTCTTTCTGTCAAGAGAGCAGCACTAACTACATAGCTGTATTTTAACCATAGCCTCTCATTTTATGAGCACAGCATGAGATCTTGTAACATTCCCTGCAGAAGGCAGCTGAATTAAAGCAGCAGTTGCTTGTACTGGACTTTGGTAAGAACAAAATTCAGTTTCAGCAACTGCTCAGCTACTCTCACCTGGCCAATGGACTGTTTCTCTAGGGATCAGACCTTTCCCCCTGCTTGACATTTTTCTTTCAAGTTGTCTGATCCACTCTCAAGTGGCCTATTAAAAAGAATAATGGCCAAAGTTACCCAGTCACAGCAAGACAGACGGAGCAAGGACCTCAGCTTTGAAACCATACAGTCTAAAGGGGATGAATACGACATGATTGGAAGGATCAAATCTGGGAGTGATTTCAGGCACACATATTTCTTTTACCCAGATGGAAATGCTCCTAGCCAGGTCTGCTGTATTCAAGAACAGAGGAGAGATTAAATGGAGGCAGTCTCCACCCTTTCACTATTATTTCTACACACTCTAGAGGAAGCTTCCATCTACCCTAAGCCATCTAGGGCTATGATACAATGAAATACTTGCTACCAATATATGTCAAATGCTAGTATAGATGCTGCAATGACACACAAAGCAGAACTAAAACATTTAATGCTGGAAGAGCCACAATGCTGCTTGGCTGAACTGTTTCTTTTGATGAGAACGTACCAGATGGCAGTAAAAGTTTATCGTTTTCACGTCTGCTTTTTTCCATTAGCTAGTCATTTGCTATAATCAGGAGGTCAAAGAAACAGATAAATACCCAAGTTCAAAGCACTCATTTGCTGACAAATACTAGAACTAATAATTTGCATATTATACAACTTCAGAGTAGAACTGGACAGCTGGAGTCTTACTGGCCCCTTTTTTCCTCTTGCAGAGAAAACATCCAAGATGGTACCACTGAAAATGTGAGTGGCTTCAATCAGAGCCTGCAGGGTGTTCAGTCAGTGGTAACACAGTGGGAGGAGGAGACAAGAAGCAGGGTTTTAACTAGTCTCTAGCAGACAAGTTCATCCTTATGATACTGTTGAGCACACACACATCTAGAAATTCTGCCGCTACAAAAATGGTGCAAGTGTAATTAGTACCGATGGTCTAGAAGTGCAGCTTCCACTCCAAACTTCATTTGTTTCCCTTTCACAAGGTAGCAAAGAGTCACATCTCCTCCTATTGCCTTTGAGCTCAAGAAGGGAGATAGCTATAGTCAAGCACAGCTGAACACTTCAGCCAGAAATGCAGTATGCTCTTCCTCAACAAATAGTAAGTTTGTGCAAAATTAACGTCACTCAATGCAAAGTACACCAGAAGGTAGCTAAGAAATACATTTCCAATGAGAAAAGTTTATTTTGAGTAGAAACTGGAGTGAAAAAAAGCCTCTGCAGTGCTCACATTCAGAAACAATTCTGACACTTCGCAGTAACTTCAGTTGACACATTTCACTATTTTTTTTTCTTCAAATGCCTTTGGATCTGTCTTCATCCCTGCCTCAAAGGCATACAGTATTGCGAGAAGATGAAAAAGGGAAACCCCTGCACGCTGGCCCCTGAATTCTACATGCAGGTGAAGAGAAAAAAACTCTTTTCCATGTCCTTGGTATAAAGTTTAACCTGTACGTTTCCCATTAAGTTACACCCTTTCCATGAAGCTGACTCACCAGTCAGAAAGCACACTTTTCTTCCTCTTGAGGTCACTCCTGGGACAGCATGCTGTGGGCAACTTTATACTTAAAAAACCCACCAAAAATAGAAACCAACTACAATGATCTGGCAGTCAAGGATTTTAACTCACTTCCTTGTAATATTAAGTCTGCCCTCTGAACACTGTTCACACCAAAGTTTCATATTCTTGGTTTGACATGCAGGAGACCAAATTAATACCACTGTTTTGAGAAAGACAATGGTACTGCATGATGTTAGATAGAAGACTCTGGATTTTTTTTAATTACAGAATCCCCCCTTATCTTTACTGGAGCCAAGCTGTTCAAGGAGAAGAGACACATATCCTGCTTTTAATGCAGTTATAGGAATATTCCCACACAAGCCCAATGAACGCTTTCACAGACATAGGAACTTTGATTAAAATTCTCAACGTTGTCTAGAGATCACCCACATCAAACCAAAATCCAATTAAAATTAGGTCACAGTCTCAGTCCTTCTATACGTGCCAACAGTCTGCCAAATAGTTCTGACGATCGACACACGATCTGAGAGGAGGCTTCGGCACTGTCAGACACAGACCCCTGTATTCACAACGCAGTTCGTTCTTACCTTGACAACACAAGGCTGAAGTACTTGGGAGCCGTGACTAGTGACAGAATAAAAATGCAGAGGCACTGCGGCTTATTTACACACCAGTTAAAAAATAATGTTCCCTTCTTTAAAAAGTGCTTAAAAATGAAATGTCCCGGGTTCTCCACTTTGTGATTAAGTTAAATTTGCTTCTTTGCAGGATGTAGCAATAAATTGTTAGAAGTAATAATCCAGCTTTGCATCCACAGTTTTACATCCTTTATCTGAATAAATTCTCTCCTCTCTGGGGAAGTAGGTCATCTCATTGGCTATTCTGGTTAAAATGTCTTCATCCACAGCATAGCCACGTGATTCAATCTCAACCTTAACACACATTTTCACATGTTTGTATTCCAGAGGCAGGAAGGGAACAAAGTAGTCAATGAGATTTCTGTCAATCAAGGTGCTGTGCCAAAATCCACCTACAAAGGGAAAGAGAAGGGGGTTGTTACTACTCCTCCAGTTAAACGCTACCACGGGTTGAATGGGAGCAAAAGGTGTATCATAGCCCTCTGCTACACACCAGCAAGAATTCACCTGTATTTTTTAGGGCCGTATAATGCACAAGTCCAAATACAAGCCTCTTTTCATGGTACTTTGTACGTAAAGTTTTGGGCAGACACATAAATGTGGTCCATTGGAGCTGAATGAATGAATTCTGAGTGAATGCATTTAAGCCTTGCTCCCCAGGTGCTAGTCTCATACCTTCCCCTCTCTCACCTAGAGAAGAACAGATTTGCTCTCTCTCATCAGTTCTCCCAGACCAGCTTTCTTGCTCCTTTTTTTGGAGCTTGCATCTAACCTTTTTAAAAAAAGTACAATGTTTGCTTCTGTCCTGGTTTCAGCTGGGATAGAGTTAACTGTCTTCCTAGTAGCTGGTACAGTGCTATGTTTTGAGTTCAGTATGTGAAGAATGTTGATAACACTGATGTTTTCAGTTGTTGCTCAGTAATGTTTAGACTATAGTCAAGGATTTTTCAGCTTCTCATGCCCAGCCAGGGCACAAGAAGTTGGCACAGGACACAACCAGGGCACCTGACCCAAACTGGCCAACGGTGTATTCCATACCATGGGACATCACATCTAGTATAGGAACGGGGAAGTGGGGGCGGGGGATCGCCACTCGGGGACTGGCTGGGTGTCGGTCGGCGGGTGGTGAGCAATTGCCCTGCGCATCATTTGTACATTCCAATCCTTTTATTACTACCGTTGTCATTTTATTAGTGTTATCATTATCATTATTAGTTTCTTCTTTTCTGTTCTATTAAACCGTTCTTATCTCAACCCAGGAGTTTTACTTTTTTTCCCGATTTTCTCCCCCATCCCACTGGATGGGGGGCAGTGAGTGAGTGGCTGCGTGGTGCTTAGTTGCTGGCTGGGGGTAAACCACGACAGCTTCCCATGCTAATTTTAGAGCATAACTATGCTAAAACCCCTTTTCACCAGAAGTCCTGTGCAAGGAAACCTAGGAAGCACTGGACTGCCCACAGCAGGGCTGGCATGTCAGCTTGTTGCTCCTAAATAGCTGCCTGAAGGCTTTAACAGACTGAGCAAGACAGGAGAAGTGGGTTGGGGGCCAAGGAAGTGGCTTCCCCATAATAAAACATTTTATTGGTTAAAGATTTTTCAGCTACTGTAATATCTAGCCTTACTGTCAGGATTTCTGTTTGCTTTCCCTTTAGCCCATTAGTATGTCAATGAATGCACAGCGTAGACCTCCCCCAACATATGCAATCCAATGGACAGCAAACACGCTGGTAGCCAAGGTGAACACAGAGCTCCTTAACCTTCATCTCAAGAGCTGACTGTAGGCCCCAAACTGCATAGTGCCTCCTTGCTAGCTGAAAACTGGAGGCCAGATCAAGCAGAAATCATAGCTGTAAAAATGCAGCTAAATGCAGCCCACCCCTTTTGTGGAACTTTTACCACCTCAAAAGCAATCACAATTTTACTCACTATTTTTGTTATTGAAGACAGACACAGACAGTGCATTTTGGATATCTGTGAGCTGTATATCTTCCCTTGTCCTCCCGTTTCTCCAGAAATCTAGGGCCACCTCTGTTATCTTTTCAGCTCCTGCATTGCTAAGTAAAGAGAAAACAAAGATTGTAGCTGGAGGTAGTTTTAAAAGGCATCAAGTGTACAGAAGCAAGCCTGAGAAGCCACTTCTTACCTGAGGAATATGAAGATGGCTTGGCGGTAAGACACCCCATCCAGAAGCTCATAGTAGTCCAGGAATGGCTTGATGGAGTCAATGAGTCCTGCATGCATTTTATCCATTTCATCAAATATGAAGAGTGATCTGGGACAGATGCTCACATTTCCCCGAATCCACGACTGCAACTGGTCCTGGGTGGCATAAAAATGAAAGATGCTAAATGAGTTTGTGTTGAAAACACAGAAAATAACACTTCTGCTTATTGACCTTTGTCCTGAAAGAGTCATTTCAATTGTGTCATTTTAATAGCTCTGGCTTCTTGACGAAAACATTGTTAAAAGCTGTCAGTAAAACTTTAACAAAATCTCATGCTGGTTCTGAAAAATTTTAAGACACCCAGAGACAGGATGGGACAAGCAGGAAACCTCCTCATGAGAAAGATATTCCTGTAAACATAGCAAAAATGAAAGTGCACAGTAGGACAAAGGATGGGTACCACCAAAGAACAGCAACACAAAGCAAAGCCCTGACAAGTAAGATGATTACTTTCAGCAGCGCTTTAGTCTAAACATCCTTAGGTGTCAAAGCTACAAACAATATTAAATTTGCTACCTGGACAGCACCAGTGAAAAATTGCAGCTGCAGTCATTGGCAGAAGTAAACAGAATTCAGTTCTCAACCCTGCTTTTTAATAATTCAGAAGTTAAATGAAGACAATTACAAGCCCTTCTTAAAACACAATATTGTTCAGAAGGGCTAACGCTTTGTTGTATTTAAAGATTCTCTCACTTAAGTGTTACATTTAAGATCAATAATGAACTGGAAAAAAAAAAGGGTTGATCTGCTGGCAGATAAATGCAAAGTAACTGTTTTGACCATTTGCAATGATTTTTTTTTATTTATTTATTTATTTATTTTATTCACTGTTTATTCAGTCCCTGAACTGCAGAGGCAGCACAGGAAGGTGGCATTGGGTGTATTGTGGGTAAGAAGTGATAGTTCCTCCTACTACCTTGGGCAGCAAGTTTCCCAAGTGTATTCACCTTGAAACAAAAGCAGAAAAGGATTCATTTTATTTTAAAACAGCTCAGCTGCAAGAAGGGGGAAAGTAAGCTGTAAAAGAGGAAACCGGTATTTACATCATTTAGAAATCAGGTTTGTAGACCATCCTGTTCCCATTTTTAATATACACAAACTGAACATAAACATTCAGCACTACAAAAGACAGCAGTACTCATTCAAACTCTGCTGTTAATAAAGTTAGAACAGAAAAACCCACAAAACATGGATTTGAGCTACTGCTCCGCATGATATCCACCTGCCTAGAGAACTGCGCTGACGCTTAGCAAACTGACAGAACAACTCCAAATACATTTATCTGTACCTTTCTGACAACAGAATATTGTGTGATTTTGTTTTACAGCTGGGAAATGGATGCACAGAAAAACTAAATAACCTGCTCAGCGTACGGTAAAACTGAAAAGTACATCCATGCCTCAGAGAGAAAGCTTCAGCTTGCCATGCTACCTGACACACCTGGAGGTCACCAGGTGGTTTACCAGAACCATGAACTATTAGTTTTTTGCAGTGCCCACCAGCATATCACCTAACCATGGAAACCTGCTGAATCACACTTAACCTTAAGTCAGTCACATGTCTCAGCAAAGTATAGAACAAAAATTAACCTTATCATTCTTCCCTAAAGAGAGGCTCAAAACACATGCAAAAAACTTTACATTCACGGGAAAACTAGTCCTGGTGGATGTCAGGATTTACACAGTTCTGTACAGAAGATTCCAAAACTGGCACAGGATACATTTAACTGCGTAGAATAACAACTAGGTTAATAGTACTGCTAGTGCCGTAACATTCATAATTCAATACAGCAGTCACCGCAGCAGAGCCGTGCCCCACTGCCACGGGTTCCACAGCACACTCTTACCTTGTAGAGATTGATGCTGTGAGCGTGAGGAAAGTGTAAAGTTGCCACGAACTGATGGACGTATTTACTCCGCAGACCTCTTTTATAAATGCTTTCGGCGACTATCCTACCGACGAAGTTTTTGCCTGTTCCAGTCCACCCGTGCAAGGAAAGGGCAAGAGGCTTTTTGGCGTTGGTGTTGTTCAAGAAGCCCTTCACGGCCTTTACAACCACCTTGTTCACCAGGTGCTGCCCGAACAGCTTCTTGTCCAAATTCTCCTGCAGAGCTGGACGGAGAGACCGCACCGTCAACAGCGAGGAGAGGGGACAGGCACGGGGTCCCGCCGGCTTCTACCTCCTTCGAGGAGGGTCCAGCAGCACCCACCCCGCCGTGAAGGCTGCCAGCCCCACGCCAGCAAAGGGCCGGCCGAGCTGGAGCAGCGCCCCGCGGCCCACGCAAGCCCCACGGGGAGACCACCCCACAGGCCCTGCCCGGCTCCCGGGGCCTCTGCACCACCCCCGACGCCCTCCAGCCACCTCCCGCCGTGTCCCCCTCAGCCCGCCCCGGCCCCACACCGGCGGCGGCGCGCTGGTCGTGCCGCTGGAGGCAGCACTCCCTGAAGTAGCAGTAGAGCCGCGGGTAGGAGATGAAGCCGGTAAGGGCCGAGGCGGCGGCGCCGGCGATCGCTAGCCCCAGGCTGATGGGCTCCACGGCGTTCGCTGGCCTGAGGAGCGGCGGCAGCAGCAGCAGCACCCGACCCAGGGCCGCCCGCAGCACGC